GTTTTCTTTCGCATTACCAGACAAAAATGCTGCGCGAGCAACTGTGGACTTCAGTGCCAGCCACCGGATTTGGACGCTACAACCGAAGTGAACGTCACGATCAAGCCAGGATCCTGCCCAAGAGTGACATCTGATTCAAATTTTCTGAAATGCATTCCGTCGCAGGAATGTGAGTTCGACCCGGATTGCCCGGGACATTCAAAATGCTGCTTCACTGGCTGTGGCATGAAGTGCATGAATCCTAAAGGTATTCTCTAATTTAAGAATGAATGCTTGAGGATATGGAAAACATGTTTCTTTCTTACCACAGTTTCGGTGAAAGTGAGTCCGATCATGCTCGTCACGCCACCACAATGCGACAGAGACGGATATTACATACCAACACAACGGCAAGGAGAACTGAGTTGGTGCGTCGATTCGGAAGGTTATCCATTGCATAGGACGATGACTCGTGGTTATGTCCAGTGTGATAGACAAGGTGAGGAAAATATTCAAGGCGTTCACTTCCTTTTCCTGTTTCAAAATATAATCCATGGACAATTTACCACTTTTTTCCGAGTTGTGATGTATTATTTCACTCTCTTACCAGCATATATGATTCAACTGATCGATATGGAGAAAATAAATCATTAAGAAAAGCTTGGTTCCTATGGGCTTGCGACTCATATTTTGCGTTCTCCTCCACCAAAACCCTGAGCCGGAAGTAATGATGTCTCGAAGTGACTGAAATTTATTCATACGTGGTTCGCTAACTTTCTTGCGGGATTATTGAGGCCTATTTTTTTTTTTGCTGATTGAAGTGCTGTTGCGTAAGTTCAATTTCTTTCTTGATTGAGATTCCTTTCAGCTGAGTTCAATTTCTCGTCGTTCTTGAGAACCCTAACACACAGATATACAATACAGTATATACTGTAGATTATACAATTCACGGAAAATATGCTTGCGCAGTACGAGATGGTTTTTTTATGATTGGAGGACTTGAGACTAGCAAACATACTGAACAAACTAATGACCTTTGTGAGCTTCTCAGTATCCTCCACTTTCTGGTCTCAATCTTAATTTTTGACGTTTATCCTAGCCTGAGGGTTCCAATATCTCGAAGTTGCTCAAAGTGGGGGAAAATAATTGGGAGATGAATAGGAAGCTGCTTTAAGGTTCTTGCTACGTAACATCATCACTTGAAACGTTTACTTTACAAGGGTTACTTTTCTTTCACCTTATTGTCGTGTGCCCATCTTAATTGAGCTATAATAAGGGATGAATGAGCATTTGCACCCTATTTCAGGACGCATAATCAAGCGAGAGTCACTTGGCCCAGTTTGTCCGAATGGAGGCAGCGAGCCGAAGGTGTGCCATCAGGAATGCCTCAGGGTGCGATGCCCTGCTCACCCAGACGCCATTTGTGTTGCTGACCCTTGCAACGAATGCCGCATCCGCTTCGTTTTGTGAGTATAACTAACTGTCACTTATTTTTTGACGCAAGATTTAATTTGATTTCCTTATTTACTTTGCGAGTCGAAAAGTGTGTCCGGGCGTCCTTTAGAAAAGGCAAGAGAAATCAGAGAGGAATGAAAAGCAGAAAAAATATCGTCTATCAATGATAAAAGGGGGACGACACATTTTATCGTTAAATTTTCCGTACATGATCAATCGCAGCATTCTTTGGAACTATTTCTAAAAAGTGCTGTGCGTACTCATGCTTTTCGGCTATGCGTCATTTTGAGCTTTGCTAAAACTTTCCGCGGTAGAAAAGTGGGCTTGCCTTCGGATTAACGTATTTATGTAGAATATAGTTTAAAAAAGAAGCACTGCTTTTATTCAGACAATCTGGAGAGGAAGTTCGTTGCGAAGAGAAGTGCAGCCAACCACGATCCGTCGGAAACTGCAGAGCAGCCATCGGCAGGTTTTACTTCAACCAAGAAGCGCAAGAATGCCAACCTTTCTTGTACAGTGGATGTGGTGCCAATGACAACAATTTCGGCACGAAATCGGAATGCGAAGAAGAATGCATTGAGAATGGTATGGTTGCAATATTTTCCAAAATCTGTCTTCTAGATCTAGACCATAGCCTTCCACACTTTTTTTTTTGAATTGCGTGCGAAAATCCTACACCCCTCTTTTTTTAAGCTTGATTCGAACATTTCTGGAGGACTTCTCTAATTGTTGGATATTATAGAATGGCATTTTCTCTGTTTTTGTGCAGTCGAAATTTGTTTGCAACCGCGAAGAACCGGGATTTGCAGAGCACACATGACCAGGTGGTGGTACAACCCTGCAGCTCAACGTTGTCAAATTTTCCATTACGGAGGTTGCGACGGAAACAGGAACAACTTTGAAACGAAAGAAGCCTGTGAAAGCACATGTCCTGGTAACTGCCTGAATTTAAAAAATAGTGTACCTCCATGTCACGAATTTTCCTGTATCTCGGATTTTTTTGCGATTTTTCATTAGACGTCGTCATGTGCCCGAAGTGGTCAGCGGAAAACGTGAACGAACCCTGCAGCAGGCGGCAAGCTTGCGCCAACATTTCCTGCACCCAGTTGCCAGATTCTTACTGCAAAGTTGACCCTTGCACTTGCTCTGGAATGCTGGTTGATTACGCCGGAAACCCAGCAACGTGTCCCGAGACAACAGCTGACGCATCGGAGACGTCCACGACGGAAACTGTTCGCGAGGAACCCGGCGATTTTATCGATGACGCTGAGGAGTTCGACTCTGAATTGTCTGTCATGAAGGCAAACATTATCCCCATGTGCGAAAATGTTCGCAAGGAACGGGTAGACCTTAAAGCTGAGGAAATCCCGGAATGTGACGAGGAAGGGCACTTCAAGCCTACTCAGTGCTACAGGCGACCAGAAGGGGAAACCCCGATTTGTTGGTGCGTGGACGACGCTGGGAATCGGGTCACCAACGTTGTTGAGTTCCCTCGAGGCAAATTTGAATGCCGTGAGTCGTCGGGATCAAGTTAATTTAATCTTCGGTTGCAGCGTCATCTTTTTGTTACAGAGCGAGTTCCGATCGAGTCGGTGCTTGTGAAACTAGCTTTCGCCAAGGAAGAGGACGTTCCTGTCGAGTCTCACTCAAGCTTGATCTCCGAAATCGCTGATATTTTGAAAGACGTCCCTGAAAACGTTCCGAAAAATGCGATCAATTTTAAGCAACATCCTGGCGTGTTCAATCTGGAATTCGTCCTGGAAGGACCCAGAAAGCTCGACATTGCTTACCATCTTCAGCAGCTGGTGCGTGGCTCATCATTTTACCTCACTAAAGAAAGCAAAAACAAAAAAAAGCACTCAAAACATGCACACTGCACAAAATAAAAATTTGGGAAATTTCGATGGAAAGAACGGCCTATCCATGCGTATATGATCAATTACCGTGTTATTCGCATCGATAGCCTAAACATTTTACTGCTTATGCGCGAGTAACCAGTACAATAATGTGACCGGTAATGGATTACGCTGCAGTTTAGCATTGTTGAAATATTTAATTAGTCATGCCAAAAAATCGTCGGGTCAGGAATCTGCACCATGTTTGAGCTGGCAACGTAAGCAAATGTGCGAAAAAATCAGGCGGAATTGCTTCTGTGCTTGTAGATCCCCGAAAACAATACAGTACTTTGTTTTACTCTCCTCCATCATCGAAGCATCAAAAGCGAATAGGCTAAAGTATTCATAACTTTTCTCCTAATTTTCATCTGACCGTTTTTCAGTAATTGCCTGAAAATAATCATCATTTATCTATTCCTGGCGAAATATAATCTTGGAACAGCAGCGGCCTATCCGTGAATAATTCGATCGAAGTCCACGTCTAATTTCTTATTGTCAAATTTGGTAATCACAAAGTTTAAGTCGATACTTCACGTTTAATTTCAGGTAAAGAATGGCGAAATGTCGTTGCACTTGGGAGAAACCCCGATGTTGGCGAACTCGAACCTGTCTGACTTCGTGCACAACGTAGAAGCGACACCTTTCGTGAACGAGATCCCTCAGTTTTTCTCCACTGAGAACCAGCGCGAGGCATTGTACGCCCCCGGGGCAATCGAAGCACCGTACATAATCGTCATAATTGTGGCCTCAGCCCTCATGCTGATCGTTCTCGGAGCCCTGGGCATCGCCATGGTGGTGTATCGTCGCAAAATCACGGGATCGTATCCGAAATCCGGGAAAACCTCGCCTTCGACGGCGAGCACCACGAGTACCATCTCAAGCGTGTCCAGTGGTCTCACTGTCAACTCTCCGTTGTACGCGTATGAGACCAAGAACCAGCTAGCCAGAAGATTCGACGATGATTACAGCTATGAACACGGGCGGAAATTCTCCATCACGTCCACTGATGGTGGACCATCATTCACGCATGATTATGAGATCGTGACGGATGCTGATGGAAAAACAAACTCCGGCGGCTTACATTGATTTCAATTCAGCGTCGTTCAAATTAATTCACCGAACGGTGACCCGAAACTGAAGGGACCAATTCTGAAATAGGAATTTCACACCGTCCGTCAATATTATATCTCGTAGAAAATGCCCAATCTCTTTTTGAACAACTGTAGAAAATTCGTATCTTGCAGATTCCAAGAGAAACGCTAACTACAGTCGAGTTATTTTTTGTTGTCATTCATTTTTGAGTTACTCGTAACATTCATAATTGCATCCAGAGTTTTTTATGACGTATGATGTGCTCTCGCATTCAATATTCACAAAACCACGGAAATAGGTTCCGAATTTTGATAAAAAAAATTGCGGATTGTGAATGAACGAAGTTCGGGATTTTATTGTCTGTAAACAAATCAGCAGCAGGTTTTCTAACTTGAATATAGGTTATCTTGAGCTGGATTAAGAGTTCGAAGATTGGAAAATTTTGAATTTGCTTTGTAATTCCTAAATTTCAAGTTTTATTTTGTTTCCGAAAAATCTCCGAAATTATCTGGAGCATTTCAGCAGCACCGTTTTTGAACACAGAAACGGAGGACGAGTCCTTACTAATTGTCGAATACAGAATACTGTGATGAGTTCTCCAGCATTTTGACATTGAATAATTCAATGTACAAAACATAATCAGGAAATTAGTCTGATTTCATTGATGAATTTCGTTGGAGGCAAAAATGTACCATAGCTTTCAAGGTCTTGGAATTTCTGAAGGTTACTGTGTCAGGATAAATTCTTGGGAAATGGTGCACGTCAGATTTTGAAAACAAATTCTTTTGAAGCAATCCCGATTCAGCGATTTTGAATCTCGTCATTCACAGAAATTGCTCTTCTTCGTTATTATCTTGGCATGCGGTGTGAAATTACTATGCAAGATGCGTTCATTTTGGTTTTCCTTGCAAGCTTATCAAGCGGTTTTCCGGGTCTGATCCCAGTGAAAGCACCGCAATGAAGCGCAACTTCGCGGTAAAGTCGCCTTTGAAAAAGACAATTCCTTTGAAACCCGACGAAAAATGTTCCTTGTGATTTTGGGAGTAGCAGAAAGAAATTTCGGGGACAAAAGAACTCCTGGCGTCGGAGTTTTACACATTTAAAGTGCCTTGTTGATCGCAAGAAAACGAGAGATGGTCCATAAGTTGTCAGACTCGTACATTAACTGTCCTTTCAGATATTCGCAATCTTTGTCTAGCAGCAGTCAAGCGTATTTGCGAAAATATTTTTGCCGAGAGATCAGAAATGAAGCTTGAAATATGTCCATCGCGCGTGTCCATAATGGCTGACATGCGTTAGATTTATCCCTTGAAAATTACTTCAATTAAATCGACAGAACTGTTGAGGTTATTAGAGTGAAATAACGTTTTAATTGAATCATGATAAGTGTAGAAAGTTATGGATCATCCCTCGTGAATTCAGAAGCGACTCACGCTATATGTAAACCGGTCAAGTGCGCCCGAGTTGAACCTCGTTTTCCGGACAAACAAACAACAAGAAAAAAAAGAGAGAAAAACGGCCTTTCTCGGTATTAAGTTGTGATAGCCCTCATTGATTTTGCTTTTCTGGAGCGAATATTTTATTTTATTTTTCAGGGGTAAGTGTGTCGAGCGAGTCTTCGTCGGCCGCCCTTCGGTTTCCTATCGTGAAATCTCACCTCTTTTTCCTGGCCGCGAGATTGAACTCACATTTGTGTTCCTGAGCCACCGCCTCGGAATCCGCGATGTTGATCGCTCGCGACAGTAATTGATCGCTTGTCGTAATGCATTCGAAACTCTTGTACCCACAGGGTTTATTTATGACGGGCTCACGCGGAACCCCGACCGACTCTCGCTCACCCACTGTCCCCACTGTTACCAAAATTTTTTTTATGCTTCCTTAAAACGCGGTGGTCGCTGATGTCGCATGATTTCTCCTGCTCGTCTTCGCATGCAGTCGGGCTTCGAAATCTCGTTTTTTGTTTTAGCGTAGTGATTTCATGTTTTGTGTTGCTCGCAGGCAGCAGTGGCCATTTCAAGTGAAGGTTCATCTATATACAGGCTCCTTGGTATTTTTTTTTGTTTTGCTCCCTTGCGCGAAGTGTAGATAAGTCGTAGCATCGGTGACTGAACGCGCAAACGTCACCAATTTTCCCAGCAATCTAGTGACGCTACAGTTGACGTACGATGCTTCGGAAATGAAACTGTCGGCGAACAGCCGCATGAGTTTCTCCTCGCTTTTGTTGTTTTTTTTTTCTTTCGGCGACGCTTCTTTTTGCAAATACAAATGCTTGAGTAAAACGTGCAGTGAAATTGTGGAAGAACGCGATACCATTTTGTAAAAACAAGTTCGTTTTTCTTTTATTTTCGATTCCCTTCATGATGGTGGCGGACATCGAGTCAATAGCTTTTCTGGAACCCATATTTTTGGTCTCACAAAAATCAAGATATTGAAAGTGCTCGGGGTATTTTCATGGAGCACTTGTTCGTTAAGAAAATTGCTTTCGGTTATTCGAAAACTTTCCTTGGTTTCTCTGATGTGTTTAATTGCTTTGCCATTTCGCACGTCTTCGAAAGTCCATTCGACATTTGAAATTTGCAGAAGACCGGCACAACAACGTCGATGGTTTTTCGTCGTTAGTTTTGATCGGGTTTACTTTTCGTCTGCCTGAGTTTAAAGATTACAATGCTAACGCAGTTTCATTTTAATTTTTAATAAGTATTAACGTAGGAAGTACAGTAATCAAGGACAACGATGTTTGCATGAATGAAGATAAAGACTGCCCCCATGTGGTTAGCCTAAGGGGTTTCCTGAGATTAAGAAAAAAGGAGGATGAAAGCCGAGGATTTATGCTCTAATTCATGAAAGACATTAGTTTGAACTGAATCTAAAGTCTTCTTAATGATACTGACGGGACCCAGAACGGATTTCTCCTAAAAATAAATCGTAGAATATTTTTTCGATCGTTGTAGATGGAAATAATGCTCACATAACGGGGGCATCATAGGTAACGATTGTTTTGTAAAAAATACCCGGTGGACATAATCAGTGTAAAGATAAGTTCAGCGAGAGATAATTTTTTACCATCTCGAGCTTCTGTTACTGATTTTTCCGGTTGTCATGAGCAGGAGTTCTTTTCTCCTGTTTTACACTGGTTCACCGAGATCAACCAGAACATCGTCCAACTTCCTTAATGCTTTTTCGAATAGAATTTGAAGATCACAGACCCGTGGGAAACAAAGAGAGAATTTTTTGTATTTTTAGAGCGACTCCGAATGTGGTCGCCGGCGTCGCGGGCCTGCGGCCGACGAATTCTTGCGCGGTGCCTCTCGGAGTGACAGCGTCGTCAGAGATCGTGACACTTCACCTGATTTTTATCCCCCGTCACAGCTACTGTATTATCCATGCCGGGCTTGTTAGACTCAGTGTAATTAATGTATTTCCTTAATCTTACCTGTTCTTCGGGGAGACGACAGCCTGGGTTTGTTAGCCTAAGCCGCCTTTGAATCGATTATTACCCTCTCATCAAAACGGGCTTCTCCGTGATAGTTTATACAAGACGTCCGAAAAAGCTGTCCTTGGGATTATGCATATTGTTTTTATCCCGTAAAGTAACGCGGATTTGCGAGGAAATTTTAACATGCATTCCATTGAACATAATCGAGGAGCGATTTCGCAGGAAGTCTTTTTTTCATTGATGTGACAGTAAAGACGAATGGAAAATGTTCAATGAGATAGTATACAATACACATGATACAAAAGAACGCTTATATTATAGAGAACAGCAAAAGAGAACTCCGAAGACTCGGGTTACAAATATGAGAATGCATTTATTCAGTCACGCCCAAGCTTTTATTCATCAAGAGGAAACAAAGCCGCCTGTTTTTATTTTAATTTGTGCAACTTTTTCTTTGTCAACGAATCATCCAGGATAATGCACGTTGAGATTTATCGAAATGTCTATAAGATTGAGCCAAGTCATCGTTGACATTTTTGTCTTTTATGCGCTAAACGACATTTTTCATTCCGTCCTTGATCAATTGTGGTGTTTGATTATCTTTGAAAATGCACTCACTCATCAGCCTGGGCGAAATCTGAGTTGTGCTGTATGCATGAGTAAAAGTTCCCTGTGGAATTTTCTTCAGTAAAATTTTTTCAGAGACCGCAGTTTTATCATCGTCCCGTGACCTCTGCCTCAGTCTCGCCGCTGTGACATTCACGAGCGTTTCGAATAAAATTTTTGCGAGATTCTCTCAGACGATGCGGGCAATTAAAAAAATCTGCATTTTATGCTATGTTGAAATCCGTGAAGATCGCCCGAGTCTTCGCGCTGGCACCCAAAAAAATGGCAAGCGAGGAATGCCCACGTCTGCAGAAGATTTCCTTTATGTTTTTCAACAGACCTCATGCTGTTCAAGAAGTCCACACAGGCATTCCGCGGGTTGTGTAACAATAATCCGACCGCCCCGCGATATATTCTTATTGATGAAGATCGCATGACGAGTTAAAATGCTAATCAAAACACCCTTGATGAAAGACTTTTGAGCGGTTGTCGGTATCGCGCGGAGATCTAACGATGCAAATAATTCATAAGAGAAGCTCGGTTCTGGAAATCCGGTAACAAGTAGCTTCGTGGGCTGAGATCAGGTTTCAGCGATAGACAGATGGATGTCCTGGGCGCTGGTACAACTTGGCAAAGTCGAGTTCGCTCATAACTAATGAGTCTTATCGCTCAGAAACATCGCCTTGCTTTGCACTCGACAACGCGCAGTTGGTAGCCGGGATCTGCGTAATTTATTAAAAGCCTGCTCAGACTCGTGGTAGCAGTCTTGCGAGTCCCGCGCTGTAAGACTAATTTCGTCTAATACCTGGTTTTACTCTCCGTGATTACCATTGTTCCTTCACTCGCCCTTTTCTGACCACGAACAGAAAGGTCGCCGAATAAATCGAGTTTCTGGCTGGCGTTCTTGATTAGCATTCACGGTGGCGCTCTCAAGAATCTATTTCCCTTCATCTGGCAGGTGATCAATTCTTCAGAAAACGCGACATGAAAAATACTGAAAAAACCATCATTTCAATCACTGATTCAGCACTCAGGTTCGCATTCACAAAACTTCAACTAATAATGCGGAATCACGGAAAAAAGCAAGGTTACGTTTACGATGATATGCGGCGGAACTTTCATGAACTATTTTGTGATGCTTATAAAGGTAGAAATAATCAAATTGATTTTCCTGGAAGTTGAATGCTTCAACCACGCATATGAAACTGGGCATTGTAGAAAATGATAATCATTAGCAACTAATCCTTTGAAAGCTGTGCAGCCGATTCCGAATTCCTGTATACTATCTCACATAATGCAGCATTTGCACGATTAAATGGGCTGCATTCTTTATTTAAAAATTCGGAAAGGTAACATCATCTGAAATGTTACCTTTCGTCGTTATATCTTGTCTTTTTATGCAATACTGTATTAGCATTCCATGTACTAATGACTTTAAGCTGCGATCCTGAAAAAAATGATAGAAAAGCTCTGTACATTTTTGAAATTATTTGGCAATATCCACGAAAAATTTTGAATTAAGACAGAGTGCTTAAGCACCTGAATATTGAACCACGATATTGCTATTATTCTGAAGTGGCTTTTTTTCAACTGTTTTTTTTCAACTTTTTCATTTGGCCGAAAAAGGAACAAAAATTTTGAATTTGAGTAGTTGATATGGGGGCATTCAAGAGGGAAAATGGATGGACCTATGTCACATTTTACATAATAAATCTCAAAATTATCAATTTTGACAAGCGTCGGTCTATCTAATTTAATTTGGAAGACGTCCGATTAAGACTCAAAGCTGATCTGATCTAAAGTGTGTATGCGGAAGTGTACCTTTTCCTGCTTTTTGGAATATCCAGAAGCTCAGGATCACCAGCTGTGCTGCATTTACAGATTACCATATCTATTTCGAACGAATCCACGCATCCGCCGTTTTGTTCTATGCACGACACCGCCCGGTCATTATTCAGCCGAGTTTCCAGATGAGTCCGCAGATATACGCACTTGTCTGGTTCATGTCATGGGGGCTACACTGACGTGTAAGCAGAATTGAATTGCATGAAGATTCCAAGGAAATTTATAGCTACTTTTACAAAAGTCAGCTTACGCCAGCATCTGATTCATGTGATGCACTGGCTTCTCGAGAAATTGTACGAAAATGCGAGAGTTGCTAGCCCGCAAGACAAAGGACTTGAATAACATATTTATTATTCCAGATAAATTTTTGTAAAAAGGATCTCAGTTTTGTTTTTGAAAATATCTTTCTAATGGGTTTATTTTATTCACTCTTTTTCAAGCACGTACCAACAACATGTCCGGGAATGTTCAAGAGCATAGATTCATGGCTCTAGTAATTATTCTCTTCCATATTACCGAACAGTTTCACCCTCTTTCCTCTGTTGAAATATTTTCAAACGTCATCTACATACAAATTCGAAGTACAGCTCTACATGTGTTTCTTTTCAGTGCTCTGGTTCGTCGAAGAGAAGTGAAAAAGGTTAAATTACCTCAGAAATATTTCTTTTCCACAAACGAAAAATATGATCAATAAATAATCCCCAAATTGGAAATTTCATACATCTCCTCAAAAGAATGAGGTCTGGGTAAAATTAAATTACCTGTAATCATGTTTCACATCTAAATGATGGATTTAATTCATTAATTCGTGATTTGAAAGAAATACAAAATTTATCAATGAATTCCTCTCCAGAATCCCGTGTTTATCCGGGATTGATTAAGCGTTGTCTTGCAGTACAGTAGTTTACAGGTAGTCTGCAGTTTTCCTTTCAAAATCAGATCAACATATCTGAGTTTTTCCTGTGTAGATGCCATGAAAAATACGCATTAATTTTTGGAATAAAAATATTACAGGTGCTGCCCTTTTGAGGGAAGCTCGATTTTTCTTTCAAAATACAGCCAATGTGATTCTTTATTTCTTTCAAATAGATTAAAATGACCTGTGATTTACTTATAAATGACCATATTAAGCAGTTCTCATACAAGTTTCGATACTAATTCATGCAGAGGGAGGTTCAGCGCAAGAAACTCCGACCTGTCATCGAATCCAAGTCAGCGGCATACATTCTAAATGTAGCAGTCAGTACATGACGGAAGGAATCCGTCATTCTCAATGTGTTTTCATTTTAATTCTCGGAATTCCTGGTTCATAACTTAAAATTCTGAAGAAAAAGAACAGAAAACGGAATCCTGAATCAGACGCATTTCTCGGCACGTTCGCTGAATTATGCCGACGGCAAAGCTTCAGCTCTATGAAAACAACGAATAGCCCAAGGAGG